TAAAGGTATATATATGTATATATATACATATATATATATATATATATGAGAAAACTGCAGGAGCGCTGGGCAGCTCTTCTAAGCGTGCGCTGTGGGGATGTTTTTGAAAATTTCCATCGCGATTCTCAAGGTGGGCAGAGTTAAAACCGCTGAGCCAGCTCACAGATCCCTCTCTCTCTCCCCAAAAGAACACAGCTCCCCCCAAATCTCCCCCAAATCTCAGATCGACGAAATGACCAGCGACGAAGACTAAAAGAGCCCCAAATCTCCCCCCAAATCCCACCATTTCGTCGATCTCTCTCAGATCCCCGACATTCGAAGACTAAAAGAGCCGCCACGATTCCTCTCCGCTCCCTCTCCATCGCGGGTGACCCCAGACCTAGCAGCGCACCGAAGAGCCGCCACGATTCCTCTCCGCTCCCTCTCCGTCGCGGGTGACCCCAGACCTAGCAGCGCACCACCACCGGCCATCGCCCTCTCTCTAACTTCGTCGATCGTGACCTCATCCACCACCGCGGTAATTTCTCTTCCTTTTTTTTCTTGCCCTTTTTACTTTGAATTTTGATCGGATGCGGCCAGAATATTCTTTGAATTCAAAAACTTCGTCGCTGGTCATTACAGTAACTATCAACGTTAAGTCTGTAATCAATTAAATAAAAGCTCACTAAGATCCTTCCAAGCACTTGTATTAGTAATTCCAAACACTTGTACTTGCACCTCAATCAGCAGCATCTGACGAGCATTTAACTTGCATTTTCCCACAGTGGAGTCTTTTAGAGGCAGAAACTCAAGTGTGATGTCCTGTATATTATGCATACAGCTCTAGATTAATTTAGACTTAAGTTAGGGGCCAGTCAAGCATTAAAGCTCATGAAGTAGGCCACAGGGGGCACCCTGCTCCCTCACATGGTCAAACAAATAATAGTTGTTGCTTTGTTGGTCCAGACTCCAGACTATATTTGGTGCTACTAATAACTGATGATGCTTAGACTTTGAGCTCAAATTTGACTTGCCAAAAGGGTAGGTAAACTCTAAAGGATCTTCTCCAAGACTTAAGGAGCTATGCAGCAATCATCCTAAAGTGAATTATGAAATCAATAAGTTGATGCAAAGATCAAACTACAATCACAAGTGTCTGTGCTGCTAAAATCTTCAAAAATTTTGTAAGGCTAACAGATCATGAATATAAACAAAGAAGCTGACTCACAAAGACAAGCATTGGAGAGGCAATAGCTACCTGTATATATCAATATTCACTTGTCTTTTATTGCAGGTGATATAATGGCAAGAAAGAGTTTTTATGTTGTAAAGAGAGATCGACGTTGTGGCATTTTTATAATTGGGAGGAATGCAAATCTCAAGTTATTAGATTCCCAAATGCCGCCTACAAAGGGTATGCAACGTATGTAGAGGCTTTGAGTGAATGGGAGAATCACTTAAGCGAACATGATTCAGCATCCAGCTCAAGGCATGTGCAGCCACATGTTTGTGTTCAAGAACAAATGTTTCTAGAGGGGCATAACCTTCTTGAGGACAAGGGAAAACATGGGGAAACTGCTATTTCCTCCATATATGCTTTTGTATTAGGTTCAGTGTTTACAATTTTAATATTTCTAGTATGTATTGTTGCAGTATTTGTTGGTTTCTCTATTAGGGAAAACATGTGATGTGATGCGTGTATGATTCTTCAATGTACTTAATTTGATGGGTTGTGGTCAGATTGTGCATGATTTTGTACTTAATTGGATGTCGAAATTTGATATGGTTGCTATTCCTGATTTTGCTGCTGGTGCTATGGAGAACTATGGTTTGGTCACATATCGAGAAACGGCTTTGCTCTATGATGATCGTCATTCAGCTGCAGCAAATAAACAAAGGGTGATTTTCATCAGTGTTAGATGATCTCTGAACGCTTGGTTTGGATTTTGATACAATGCATGTTAAATTGCTATTTGCCTTTTGTCACTAGTAATCTGTGTTCTATTTATTCTATAATCCCCATATTTCTACTAGTGCTTAAGTTTTGAGAGATGTTTTCCATAATCGCAATTGTGTGTTGGTTTTGTCTAATCATCAGATATAGCTATGTGCCTAAAATTAGATAAGTATGTGCTTACAGGTGGCAATTGTTGTAGCACATGAATTGGCACACCAATGGTTTGGCAATCTTGTGACAATGGAATGGTGGACTCATTTATGGCTTAATGAGGGTTTTGCAACATGGGTAATCATGCTGATATGTTATTATCATTTATCTGAGGGTTTTGCAACAACTGACTGGGTGAGTGATCAAGTCTGCTTTGCTTACAAACCGAAGTGATGGTTGTTTTTTGTCCCTGCTGCTCAGCATGAAGAGGAAGCAATTTATTACCTGGAAAAAAGAGAGAGGGAGAAGGTACTTGCTTTAATATTGATAAGGTCTAAAGCATAATTGTAGGTCTAAACTTTCAAGACTGAGCTAAAACAAACAGAAGTAGAGAGAACATGTAAATATTCCAAGGAATTGCATATCTTCTGTTTCTCTAACTTCTTCTTCAAATGATTCTATGAATTTTGTTAACACATTGTCTAATTTCTGCATCTTCTCTTCTGAATCAAATGCAAGCTCGAGCGCATTATTGAATTTTGCTCTTAAAGCCCAAGATTTCAACAAATTAATCTTCTCTTCACAGCTTGTGATGTTTCTTCCAAATACAATATTGCCAACCCCAATGTTACGATGTCGAGCTACTATAGTCCAACGGTGTAGGATGTAATGGTCGGGTAATGAAGAAATTTGACTAGCCATCATTAGCGACAATATATGTCTACATACAACACCATTAGTTTCAAACAAAGCACAAGTACAAATAAATTGTATCTTACTGGATTGGTCATAAGTAACCACCTCCCCTTTTGATTTATCTGCAAACTTGCAAATCTTGTATTCAACAATGTCCCCATCTTTTCTCAATTCTTCACAAAACTCTGTTGCAAATCCTTTGAATTCAGTTTGGAACACATCAAACATTGTGCGGGTATATATTTCTCCAGCTTGTACCTCAATCGGATGTCCAAGGAGCATGATAGGTTTTGTGTTAAGACTCTTAAAATCTTCATGGGCTTCACTTAAGCGACGATGAGTTAATGCTTTTTCATATTGTAGAACAAACTCGTGTAATTGAGTCTGTGAGTTAACATACCCATCAAAAAATGCATTTATACTTTCACTTCTTTGGCTCGATCTCATTCCAGCAAAAAAAGTTTCCTTCAAATAACATGACACCCAATGTTCTCGATATTTGTAAACAGTTTGCAACCATCCATCCTCTTCTTCATTTATATCAAACTTCTCATTCATCTCTAGCCAATATCCTTCACACTATTCTATTGAAGAACTATTACACCATAAGCCCCAATACCTTTGAAACTGTTCACCGTAACGAGAAACCAAAGTAGGCAAATGATCAGTAATATGCTTTTGCATGTGCTAAAAGCAATAACAATGTCTTGTCATTGGAAACACAGAGTGAATAGCATTGCACATGGCTCTATCCTGATCTGTTATAATAGCACATGGTTCAACCCCATGCATGCATTTCAGCCATTCTTGAAATAACCAGACAAATGTATCTTCTTGTTCATCAGCTAATAATGCACAACCAAGTAAAGTGGACTGTCTATGATAATTCACACCAGTAAATGGAGCAAATGGAAGACTGAACTTATTAGTTCTGTATGTCACATCAAACACCACAACATCACTGAATTGTAAATAAGACTGTTTGAGTCAAAAGTCGGTTCTGTTGAGGAATTCATTATAACTTTGTTTGATTACAACAAATTCGAAAGAATAATCTTTTTATAAGACTTTTTCTACACAACAAAATGAAAATTACAACTCTTGAGAAACAAACACAAAAATCGTCTATCGATCTTTGTTTTCGTGGGACTTTGCCTGTGCCGGGAACGCTTTGGTTCGTGGACCGCCGAATCACAGATCGTGAAGAGGGGGTTGACTGATTCTGACTTCGTTTATCGAAGTGAGAAATTGAAACGATATCTTATCGAAGTAAGATAGTCGTTCTTCTTAAAATTAAGTCAAAGCTTAATTTCAAGGCGTTGTATGAAAACTCAAATCTGCTCTCTCTGCTCTGGAATGCTCGAAAATATGCTCGATCCCCCTCAGAAATGACCCTAGGGGGGTATTTATAGCCTCTGGGGTAATAACTGCACAAAACTCAAACAAACGAACACGTTATGGCCGCGAGACAGTGTTATTTGCTGTCTCGCCCAGCGAGACAGTAAAATACTGTCTCGGAAAGCGAATATTCCTGGCAGTTTCTCGCTGTAACTGCCTTCCCATGTTTCAAACTCCGTTATTTTGGCAGTTATTCACGTGATTTTCGCCCACGATGTTTTTCACGTCCCTTGGCAGTTGATGGACACGTGTAGGGCAGTTATCAAGGTAGTTTTGACCATTTCAACATTGTCTCACTGGTCGAGAAAGTAAACACTATCTCGCTGGCGAGACAGCAAAGCCTGTCTCGCTGGCGAGACAGTTCATACTTGTTTTGATTTTTCCCAAAAACAGTATGAAATCCTTTCTCGTGATTTTTTGAGTGATCTTCTCTATGTTTGGGATATCTATTAGCATTTTTTTGACGCCTACAGATACCCCCTCCAAAGTATTCCAGACTCATTCTTTTATAGAGGAGCATGGGATACTTTGGATAAGATAGATTTTACTTACGATCCCTTCAATGCTTGGTTGAGTAGATCGTGTGAAAGGACTTGTGAATGGCTTCAATGCTTGATCTCTGTTGCTTTTAGTCTATTCAGTTCTTTGTAGAATAGCTAATGTCTTCCAGGCGTCGCGTTTATCGCTTGACCGTTGTCGAGATCTTGAATTGAAATTGGTACTTGCTCTTGTGGGTTCAGCTTTTACCACTGAGTTGATATATCCATTGAGAGCTCATCAGGTTATCCTTAAGAATATTCTGATTAATATTCTCCAGAAACTTCCTGTTGAGGGTGGGAATACAGTTTAGACTCGTGTACCTATTGAAGTATCCATTTGTATTATACTTGACTTTTGGCCAAGAGAGTTTTATGTCTCGCTGGGCGAGACAATGTTTTCTGTCTCGCTCGGCAAGACAGAGTTGTCTGTCTCGCTCGGCGAGACAGAGTTTTCTGTCTCGCTCGGCGAGACAGCTGCTATATAAGTCGGGACTTAGGGTTTTAGGGTTGTTTCACGTCGGATTTTGGCGATTTTTTGAGTGATTCTTGGGCGATTTTCGAGCGATTTTCGACCAGTTCTTCACCTCTTCTTCTTCTCTTCGTTTCTGATTTGGGTAGGGTTTCGTTTTGGGAGATTCCAGCTGGATTTCAAAGGTCTGTCTGCTTCTTTCTCCAAAACTTTGATTTTCTTCACCTGTAACTGTGCATGCGTTATTTCAGCCATATTTGGTGATATTTTGGTCGATTTCTTGCTCAAAATCCTGACTTTTTCATTGGGCTTCCTTGTAGATCATTTACTCATTATGTCGTCGCGTCGATCCAGAGGAACCCGAAGCCGACCGACTGTTCAGAGCCCTGAGGAGGCTGCCCCTGCTGCGATCTCACGTGGAGGTATATTTCTTTCACCTTTTCACGAATTTAAATACTGTATTTCGTCAGTTCCATATATATGTCTCTATATTTGCTTGCAGATCCTCATTTGTATCCTTTGAGATACCCTGGAGAAGAGCCGGTATCCTCCTTTGAGGGGATCGACGCTTAAAAGTGTTTGTTTTGCTCTGACAAAACACACTTCAGAATACACAGGGGCGATTTCATATCATCCCACGTGTATTGAAAGGTTTTGGTATGCCGTTATAATGTCCGTGCATAGTAACGCATATCTCCTTTATACATGTGGTAGATGGAAAATCGTCACGCCTGCTGTGAGATGGCGACTATATCTTATGAAGTAAGATATACCGTTTTCTCTAAAATTTTAAGACTACACTTACACAATTTATGTGTATGTTTCCTTTATCAGTCCGATTTTCTTCTACCACCTTTGCTGCTGATGTGGTTACTGGCCGAAGTAGCGTGACCCACTCTTATTATGAGGGGATCCCGTTAGTTGAATCATCTCCCCAGTTGAAATCTGGTTATAGCGAAAGTGCTAGAGAATTAATCCAGCGAGGTAGTTGTCGTATTCTACGACGATTAATCACGGATGCGACCTTGATTTCGGAGCAAGACTCGAATCAATGTATAAGGAAGCCGGATTTCTTGTTTGGTGATTCGGTGAAAGATCCGGAGATTGCTTTCTGCAAGTCTGCGCAATGGTTGTACCAGAGTGGGTCATCATTCTTATATCTGCCTTTTATCCCTCGAGATCACTCGCTGTTGAAGTTCAGGAACCTATCGGTTGGACGTGAAATGTTCTGGAGGTTAACCGAAAACCACGAGCGTATTCATTGTGGTTTCATTGGGAAGGAAGCCACCCCAGGTTCCAGTGAAAGAGCTCATGTGCAGGGACTTCATCCGGGTGTCTTAGGACAAGACAACATACCTCAGAATGAGAAGATAGTGCAAGCCAACACCGTGAAGAACCGGTTAGCGGCAGCGGGAAAAAGATTACCCAAAGAGACTTTTAGATGCTATGGATGGGTCCATTATTCTGGGGACAAATGGTGGTGGACCAGGATGACCCAATATGTGTTAAACCGTTTTGGGCGAGAGTTAGCAGAATTAGGGTTGGATGTCCCGATCCGTGCCAGCATGCATGGCCTGCAGAGTAGTGTAGGTCATTTCCTCTGTTTGTTCGAGATCTATAACCCGGACACTAATACATTCTTTACCAAGAACGGGAAACTCGGACTGCCACTGCGTGAAATGATGCAGGTGTCTGGTTTACCTATGGGCGATGTTCCCTATCAAGAGTTCTTTCCAACTAGCAATCAGCTGAACAAGATGAAAGATAGCTCGACTGTGACTCATGACACTTTATGGGAATTGACCTGCCATTATCATATAGCCATGGCCGAGATGGAGCCCAAAGCCAGAAAGAAATCTCCTCAGGTCAGCTTGAAACAATTTGCCGATTATCTATTCAAGAACTTGGATGACCGTTCGGCAGATGTATGCAGATTGTCTCCTTTGAATTCGGGCGAAATCAATCATCTGTTAAAGAAAACAAATGCGCAATCTTATACCTCGCGCTCAGAAGATGGATTTTCGTATGGCACTAAGTTCCGCCCTTATCTGTGGCAAGCTGGTGTTTCAATTAGCCCTACTACTCTGTTGGCGGGTTTTCTGGCTTTATGGCTAAAGAGGTGCGTAGTTCCCCACCAGTCCTCAGATGCGATGCCAATGGAAGTATTGTATCCAGCCATCCAGCTAGCTACAGGTCGCAAATTATCTTTGCTTCCCGCTATGGTGGCCGATATTCATAGTGGATTACGGCAATTAATCTCCGTGTTTACTCAGGAGAAAAAGAAACCCTCCGCCAGTCTGTCCGTTCCGAAGTTAGAGCTACCCTACACTTATCTGATGACCTGGTTAGTACTTCATCGATCAGATTTAATGGAAGCTCCTGAGACGGCAAATTCTAGCCTCCCTCTGTTGCAGAATCTCGAGAATTACAAATGGATCAGGCATCGAGAGCCAGACATAACGAGGCAGTTTAAAATTCACAAGTGTTGGGAATTCTTCCCCTGCTTCCCTCAGTTCTCCGGCACCTACATTACTACCTTAGTGGATGTTGAAGACCCAAGGCAGAATCGCACCATCTTGGATGTCGGGTGCTTCAGATGGTTGATGAACATTTGACCTGGATATCTATTGTTCAGGGTAAGAGATGTTTGTCACATTGAACCCTATTTTCCATGTCGATCCGCCCGTCAGTTCGGCTATGATCAAATGTACGTCGGCAACCCGAATCGTCACCTTAGCTTTCGAGGTGGACTTATCGACGGTGCGAGAGCTTGGTTTTGGAGCATCGCCGGCTGCACAAATGCTGAGTTTGATCTCCCCTTAGAGGCGCCGCCCCTACGGATGACCTTCCTCTTTTGTAAGTGGTTGATTGCCGCTAATATCGTCACTCGACGCAGGAGAATATCTGACTCAGAGGGAGAGGCAGCTCCGCAGCAAGCGGCAGAGGCGACTCGTGAGGAGACTATGGTGTCGACTCGAGGAAAAGAAGCTGCCGAATCTTCGAGAAAGGGAAAGGAACCGGCCCACCCAACTGACAGTGAAGAAGAATTTGATAGTGAGGAAACGGAGACTTCTGAGGAGGCGGATGAAACTGGTTCGAGTTCTGGAGAAGCAACTGGCATCCCTGATTCTTTCTTTGAAAGGGGACTTGTA